TCCCTTTTACAGCCCTGGGATTGTCTTCTCCACATCCAGATAACTGTACTCAGGCAGCCATATTCAGATGAGTGCTTGTCAGGATTGGTTGGTTGTTTTCCTGTCACTCTGTACTGAGCAGGCCTTGATCTAGCTGACTGCTTTTCTCCTGTGTGCTGCCCTACCCCCACCCCCAGCTGGCGGGGAGCAGTGATTGAGCCTGAACAGGCCACAGAACTCCCTTCAAAAAGAGCTGAAGCCTCCACCAAACCTCCTTTTCTGGCACCTAGGATATGGAAAGAGTCAGGTGAGTCTTCCTGCCCCCTTGCCTCACCAGATCCTGTGCCCAAGAGCCTGGGAGTTAACATTCTGCATTCTGACCCCTGTGCAGCTCACCCTTCAGCATCCATGTTCTGTCCACATACAGCCCTTGTGACTATCTGTGGCTTCTTGGTTCCCCTGATTTTTCACCTGATCACTAAGCTGTTAGAGAGGATGCTGTGTTTGAGAAGTTTTAACTTTGCCATTCTGCTCCTGGGCCAGGTTGTGTCTTAGCATAAGAAGATAGACAAGATTAAATTCATACATTTAATGATAAAGATTTAATCAAATATTTTTTTGTTTTGTTTTGTAGACAGGGTTTCTCTGTGTAGCCCTGGCTGTCCTGGAACTTGCTTTGTAGACCAGGCTGGCCTCAAACACAGCGATCTACTTGCCTGTGCCACTGAGTGTTGGGATTAAAGGCGTGTGTCACCACTGCCTGGGCATCAATAAAATAAAACAAATGCCTTATTAAAGAAAGAAAAGAAGGTGGCCATGGTGGCACACACCTTTAATCCCAACACTTGGGAGGCAGAGGCAGGTGGATCTCTCTGAGTTTGAGGCCAGCCTGATCTACAAAGCAAGTTCTAGGACAGCCAGGGCTGTTACACAGAGAAACCCCATCTCAAAAAAAGAAAAAGAAAATCAGGGACTGAAGAGATGAATTAATGGTTAAGAGTACTTGTTGCTCTTCTAGAGGTCCTGATTTCAAGTCCCAGCAACAACATGGTGGCTCACAACCATCTATAATGGGATCTAATACCCTCTTCCAGCATTCAGACATGAATGCAGACAAAGTACTCATGCCTAAAAAAATACATGCATAATAATTTTTTAAGAAAATAAGAGACACAGCGTCCCTTGATGTGTCAACTTATTTCAAGACCTAACAGGTCTTTGGGCTGGTCTGTGGGTCACTGGGACTTGCATTTTTTACAGATCTGCTTGATCCTAGTCTTGTTCTAAGAGCTCTGTGTGTACCAGCCCATTTCCATTCTCATAGTGTACCTAGCCTGTTTCTGTTATGATGTTCTTTGAGATAAGAGATGTCTACATAGCTCCATTGTACATAGAGAAACTGAGGCTGTGGCTAGTCCTGCGGTCCCGCTTATAGGAAGCTGAACCTCTGATTCTTGGTACCACTTGTTGGGGCACATAGAAACCACTGTGTTAGGTGTGGTAGGGTCAAGCCATGTCCATCAACAGGAACCTTATGACCTGGTGAGAAGAGACATGTGGTATGGCGCCCTACAGACTGCTATGTGCTGCCTAGTTTGAGAGGAAAAAGCTCCCCATGGAGGTGAGGCACTCTCAAGGAGGCCATATAGGTACTGGTGTATCTGCACCTGCCCCTGTCCCCATGGGACTCTGGAAGCTCATTTGGTTGGACAATATGTGTGCATATAGAGTGTATATGCCATAGTGCCCTGTCACTGGTTACTACTTATTCCTAAATTTATAGTACACGTCTCAGTGGTTAGGCTCTGCATTCACCATCTGCTTCAAAGGGCTTTGCTCTTCAATGTTGTGGCAGATCATAGGAATGCTGCCCTATATCCCTTGATCAGAGAGGGACCTGAGGTCCTAGTGCCATTGAGTATGGCCTCCAGAGAACATGCTTAATGATCACTGTGTATATCTCTGAGGGTCTAGTGTTGTGCTCTGGCCTCAGCCATCACTGCTTCACTGTAACTCACTCTGCCCTTTTTTATACTAATAATTCTTGCCAGTATCCATGTCAGTATAATAACTGAGGGGTCACAGTTGGTCTTTGAACTGCAGTCTGCCCCAAGAGTGGAGCTGTCCACTATTACTTGTGCTATCTCCTCTCTAGGCCTCCCAAATGAGCGCCAGGAGGGGGTGATTGAGGCCTTTCTCCATGCTTGGAAGGGTTACAAAGAGTTCGCTTGGGGCCATGATGAACTGAAGCCTGTGTCCAAAACTTTCAGTGAGTGGTTTGGCCTGGGCCTCACGCTGATCGATGCCTTGGATACCATGTGGATTTTGGGTCTGAAAGAAGGTAATGACTCCTTTATTAATTGGACTGAGTTTCCATGTGTGGCACATAAACCAGAGCAGGATGTAAGTGATCCATGTAGGCTACAAATGCTACTCCATTGGACTTTGACTTTTTCTTTTCCTGGGTACAGGAAAGTGTGTGCTTAGTGTGTTCAGAGCCCATTTTTCATCCAGCCACTCACTCAGAGCAGCTGTCTCTTATCTCCTGAAGAGCTGAGGGTGGCCTTGGGATCTCATTCTGTCTGTTCTGAAACAGCAAGAGGGCTGGACTTGGCTCTGTATCTCCAAGATGTCATCCTTAGGTTATGCAGATCCCATTTAATTTGGTAGTGTGGATCCTTAATCATTTCTAAATTGGTAATTGTTTATTTTAAAAGTTTTATTATTTTTAATCATGTGTAGGCTTGTGTGTTTGCATGTAGGTATGTGCATATGAGTGCAGGTACCCTTGCAATGCCAGAGACATCAGATCCTCTAAAGTGGAGTTACACACAGTTATGACCCTCCTGATGGTGCGGATAACCATCCTATAAGAGCAGCAAGTGCTCTTCACTGCTGAGGTATTACTCCAGCTCCAAATTGGTAGTTTAAACATTTGTTTAATTGCTTAGTGGTTTGATGGCCACCAGTGAGTCACTCGTGTGCTCTTTGTGTCATAGTGTCTGGTAGTGACTATTTACGTTTACCAGGGCTGCTCCACCGGATATCCTTTCTCTGAAGAAGCCTTTTGTTTTGGGATTGTTTGTTAAATGTGTTGTTTTTGTGTGTCTTTGTGTGTGGGCACTTATGTGTATTACAGCACACATGTATAGGTCAGACACCAACTTGTGGGAGTTGGTTTTCTTCTTCCACCATGTGGGTTCTAGGGATTGAACCCAGGTAGTCAGACTTATTGGTAAGTGGGTAACTGACCATCTCACCTTTCTTGTTTGTTAAGACAGGTCTCAGGTAGCCTAGGCTGGCCTTGAACTCCATGTATAGCTGAAGATACCTACCTCTATGTTATGCTATACCATGACTGGCTGGCTTTTTTGTTTGTTTATTTTGGTTTTAAAAAAGTGTCTTGAGGCTCATTGGATAAGAGGATTGGCTACTCTTCCACAGTGGCTGGCTTTTTTGTTTGTTTATTTTGGTTTTAAAAAAGTGTCTTGAGGGATAGAGAGATGGCTCATTGGATAAGAGGATTGGCTACTCTTCCACAAGACCAGGTTCTGTTTACAGTACCCACATGGCAACTAACAACTGTCTGTAACTTTAGTTGCAGAAGATCTGATGTTGTACGTAGAAATTCATACAGGTAAAACATCTGAACACATAAAAATAAAATCCCAACATGTATTTTGTTTGTTTGTTTGTTTTGTTTTGTTTTGTTTGGAGACAGGTTTTCTCTGTGTAGCTTTGGAGCCTGTCCTGACACTTGCTCTGGAGACCAGGCTGGCCTCGAACTCTCAGAGATCTGCCTGTCTCTGCCTCCCGAGTACTGGGATTAAAGGCATGCGCCACCAACGCCCGGCCCCAACATGTATTTTTAAACAGCGTCTTGAGAGACTGGAAAGATGGCACAATATTTAAGAGCACTGGATGCTCTCCCAGAGGACCCAGGTTTGGTTCCCACCACCCATCTATAACCCCATTTCCAGGAGGAATCTGATACCTTCTAGTTTCTGCAGGCATGCAAATACATGGTGCACAGACATATTTACACACAAAACACCCATATACATAAAAAAAAAACAAAAAAAAAAACAGGGTCTAGTATATAGGTTTGGCTGGTACTGTTAGCCCCTGGCCTTGAACTTTGGGCAGTCATCCTGCCTCAGCCTCCCAAGTGCTAGGATTACAGGCCTGTGCCACTACACTTTGTTCCATAATAGCATGAGAGATTTGTAAATTTGTTCTTTGCTTTCACCCTCTCATTACGCAGAATTTAAGGAAGCAAGGAATTGGGTGTCAGAGAAGTTAAACTTTCAGAAAAATGTTGATGTCAACCTGTTTGAGAGTACCATCCGAATCTTAGGGGGCCTGCTGAGTACATACCACCTATCGGGGGACAGCCTCTTCCTGAGAAAAGCTGTGAGTGTTCCTGACTGAGGTTTCCTGGGACTTGATGTGTGGCATTTGGAGACGTTATTTCCAGTTTCCTCTTTCAGTACAACTGAGTTTCTTCTGCATTGGTGTTTATGAGCTGCCACAATACTGTTTTTTGCTGCTGTGGTGTATAGGAAAATCCCTTTGTGCTGGTGCTATAGCCTAGTTTTGCCATGTGATGGGTATTAGGGAGATACCAAACTATGTTTCTCCACTTGGGTGTAGATCAGTGTCATGTGGAAAAAAAACGCTCAAACTTGAATCTCTGTTGTGATTTTATGTTAGGAAGATTTTGGAAATCGGTTAATGCCTGCCTTCACCACACCCTCCAAGATTCCATACTCTGATGTGAACATTGGCACTGGATTTGCCCACTCACCCCAGTGGACATCAGACAGCACTGTGGCAGAAGTGACAAGCATTCAGCTGGAGTTTCGGGAGCTCTCTCGTCTTACTGGAAATAAGAAATTCCAGGTAGGAGCTAGAGGGAAGGCTCAGTACTTGCTACTCTTGCAGAAGGACCCAGGTTCAGTACCCAGAAACTATGTGATGTCTCATAACCCTCTGTTTTGTGCTTGTTTGCTGGGTTGATTGTTTGATTTGAGGCATAGTTTCACTGTATCATTCTGGCTCGCCTAAAACTCACTATGTAGACCAGGCCCCTGGTGGAACTCATAGAAATCCACCAGTGTTTTCTTACAGACTACTAGGATTAAAGGTGTGAGTCACCACACCTAGCACTCTTACAACTTTCTCTGTAATTCCAGTTCTGGAGGTTCTGACACCCTCTTCCGGCCTCCATGTGCAACAGGCTTACATGTGGTACCCATGCATGCAGGCAAACACTCATACACTTAAAATAAAAATAAAATCTAAGAGGGCCAAAAAAGAAAACAATTTCAGGTAGGATGGACAGGTTCCAGATAGACATGGTTTCCTTGGATCTTAGTGCTCCTCACAAGTGTAATTCATTTTTTGTTTTTTTTTAAAGTGTGTGTGTGTGTGTGTGTGTGTGTGTGTGTGTGTGTGTGTGTGTACTTACTATGGTATATGTGTGGAGGTCAGAGGACAACCAAGGTATACTCAGTTCTGTCTTTCTAACTTTATATACATGGATTCCAAGGATCAAGCTCAGGTCTCCAGGTTGCATGGCAGCTGCCTTTACCTGCTGGGCCATTTGATTGGTTCACATTGATTTTCAATATGTCTGTTAACATAAAGCCAGTTATTAATAGCCTCCTCATCTTGTGAAATGGAAACTTGTGCCAGTTAAAAACTGCTTGCCAGCCCCACTGCATCCACAGCTTTAACAATTACTCTCTGAGCCGGGCGTTAGCACACGCCTTTAATCCCAGCACTCGGGAGACAGAGGCAGATGGATCTCCGTGAGTTTGAGACCAGCTGGTCTACAAGAGCTAGTTCCAGGACAGCCTCAAGCCACAGAGAATCCCTGTCTGGAAAAACAAAAACAACTACAACAACAACAAAAAACTGTGCTTGCCTTCACCAGCCCCTGACAGCTCCAGTCTACTGTCTATCTCTGTGAAGGGTATGTACTAGGGGGCTAGTGTGGGTAGAATCCACACTTGTTTTTCTCCTGATGGCTGTTTCCATTCAGCTGGGGTTCCATTCTTTCCCTGCTGTAGTCATCCCATATGGATGACTTTACTGTGGTCTTGCTGCTCTCTTGCTGATGTATACATTTGAGTTGCTTCTAGGCCATAAGCATACAGATATCCATTTGAGGTGCACTCTCAATTTCTTGAGCTTCATCACTTGAACTGGAATTGGTGGGTCGCATGGTAATTCTGTGTTTATTTCAGAGGGCCAGCGTAGTGCTTTCCACCAGTCATAACAAGTCTCCCAGTTTCTCCACACCCTGATGATGGATGTCTTTTTGTGTGCTTATTTAACTTCTCTGGAGAAATGTCTATTTGAGTTCTTTTGATGGCCACCTCATTTGGTTGGTTGGTTGGTTGGTTGGTTGGTTGGTTGGTTGGTTGGTTTTGTTTTTCAAGACAAGGTTTCTCTGTGTAGCCCTGGCTGGCCTAGAACTCACATTGATCCTCCTGCCTCTGCCTCCCTAGTGCTGCATTAAAGGAGTGCGCCACCACATCCAGCTTCCACTTCTTTTTCTTAGGTGTTAGGGATTGTTCTTGAATGTTTTTATCAGGAAAAGAAAAAATTGGTTGTTTGCTAATGCTTTGGGGGTTTTTGCTTGTTTTTTCATTTGTTTAATATGTTTGTTTGAGACAGGATCTCAGTCTATAGCCCAGGCTGGCCTTGAACTTGATGCAGTTCTCATGAGCTATAGGCATGAGCTATCATGCGTTGGTTGTTCTGATACTGTTTAATTAATTGAGGTGATCCTGTTGATGTTTGTGACATTTAGTGATTTTTCATGTGCTGAAATCATCCTTGTATTTTCAATCAGGAGCCATGACAGGTTAATATGTTTCTAAATTGCCTTACTAGCATGTTGTAGAGGATCTCTGTTTCTGTGTTGGTAAAGAATTTGGTTTTAGTTTTCTCCCTGCTGGTGCTTTCATGTGGCTTTGGTGCTAGGATACTACTGGCTTCATGGGACATGTCAGGAAGTGCTGCCCCTTCCATTTCCTGAAGTTTGGGAAGAATTGACTAAAGTAAGCCCCCTCTCCCCTTGTCTGCCGCAGGAGGCCGTGGAGAAAGTAACAGAGCACATCCACTCCCTGTCTGGGAAGAAGGACGGGCTGGT